TTGACCTTTGACCTGGTGACCTCAAAATTAATAGGGATCATCTACTAATCGTGACTAACCTCTATGTTAAATATGAAGACTGTTGGTCAAAGGATTCTTAAGTTATTGGGCGGACAAGCCAAAACCGACGGACGGCCGAACGGACAAGCTGATTCCAGGACTCACCCCCTTACAACGTTGTTGTGCGGGGTATAAAAACTGTTTCATTATCCTCGGTGGATCGGAAATTTAAGTTAAAGCGAGCTAGCGGATGCGCGTTAATAGCAATATCTTATCTAAAACTGTTATCCTTACTTTCATTTCATTTCTCCCATTTTCCTTGAAAGGCTTGCAATTCAATTCAACAAGTTACCTTTTTTGCCCTGTTTGGAAAAAAATGGACATAAGATATAATGAAACTTGAATATTTTTACATAAGAAACCATTTATACTTTTTCACATTTCAACAAATTCGTTACTTATCTGGTTTTGATTTCAATAAAGGTATCTTTACCATACTAATTAAAAAAAAAAACGTGAAGATAACAATCAAATTAACAAATTCCAAAGCATACTTAATGATTAAAACAATATAGCTGTATAGTTACAACATAAACAGTCAAATAAATAAATTGAAGCCTTTAGAACGGTCAGTATAACAATACGTATAAACTACTTTAAATATAAGAATAGGAAAGAATATGCCAAATTACAATAAGACAAATTATGCCGATAAAATCAAATGATATGTTGTCATTATCCGTGGAAAACATTTAAAAATGCATTCGGTTCAAAATAGAGAACTGTCCTACTTTTCAAGTAACCATAAGTCGATTTTAATTTCAAAATGTGAATTACTTGCCAAACCATACAAATAATTTTACATTATTTGTTTGCTTGTTTGATTGGGTTTTACGTCACACCGACACAGTATTGGTCATATGGTGACGTTCCAGCTTTACTGGTGGGGGAAGACCTCAGGTGCCCTTCCGTGCATTATTTCAGGCACGAACGGGCACCCGAGTAGAACCACCGACGTTCCGTAAGCTAGCTGAATAGCTCCCTCACATGAAAGAATCCAAAGTCCCTGTCGCGATTCGAACCCCGATGAGGGGCAAGTGGTTTGAAGTCAACGACCTTTACGCATGTCTGAAAACAGCTAAAAATTGGACATAAGATATACTGAAACTTAAATATTTTTACATTAGAGGCCATTTATACTTTTATCCACATTTCAACATATTCGTTAATGATCTGTTTTCGATTTCAATAAAAAGTATCTTTTTGTGATCAAGAACCTTTACAAGAAATCAATCAATCAATCTGTCATAATAATCATACAGTTTATCAGTATATATTTCTATATATACTGAAAAATAACTGACATTAACTGGATTTTCTCAATTTGATTTATTGCCTACCGGTTTCTATAATCATCAAGGCAAAAAAAAACCATAAAACCATAGTTACAACGTCATTTGACGTTATTTGTTCCGTTAGTTTTATCATTTTACAACGAGTAAATATTTCCCTACAGCGATACATTGAGATGAAGTGTAAATATCATGTTGCTGTTCGTATAAACATCTATACACGTAAATGTTAGCGAATATTTTTGGAGTCCGCGCCGAAGCGCGGCGCCTTTTATGTAATGAAATCAGAATTTGTGAAAGGGCGACAGCAACTTCTCGAGCCTTTTATAGTTGTTCATAATAAAAGCCGATCATTCCGATCGGTATGAGGGTGCTTGATTATTAATTAGTCGCGATATGTACAATGAATAGCGAACTGGAGAATTTCGCAATGCAAACATTTTCAAATTAATTAACCTTTTCCGTCAATAAATCGCGCTCTTCGGGGTATTTTTATTTATCATTTTTGTAGTACACAGTGGGTTATTATGGTATGTTATTTCGAAAGCTGTAAATAGAATGTTGAGTTGATGACCTAAATATTCCGAAAATCTATTTATAGAGGGATGTACTCCTGTCGGTAATTCCCGGTCTCTCCTGGTCTATTTTGACGACCGGCGAATAGTACCACACGTTTATTGTCCGGTCTCTTCCGGTTTTGGAGTAGATGTTTGATATCGTTACAGAACAGAACAAATATTTTACAGATAAATAAGCTTTTTTTCACTTAGTTTGGTTACAATAATTAATAAAAATAGATCAACTCTCAAATTTATTGATTATTATTATACATAAACATACAATTCGAAAAAAAAACCAACAACACAAATCGCATGTTTTATTTTATCTATATGAGATAAAAACAATAAATATGTACAATAATTGAGAAAAATGTACATTTTTATGGCATTAATATGACACTATCAACTTTGAAACATTTTATTTAATTTGTTATTCGTGTTTAGTAAAGATGCCGAGGAATTATTCAAAGTTACAAATCAGATTTTATGAATTATTCAATTGATTGATAATTTAAAAAATGATAAAGAAAAATACAAATGTACATGTATATGGTTTAAGAATAAACAATATTATATATTGAAAGTTTAACCATAATTTACTGACTTTTTCCAGTTAGGTTTTGACTTATAATCGTCGGTCATTATGACAATTGAATTCTTAAAATAGTAGTAAACGTAAAAACTCAGTATTAAAGTAGTGCATAAAACACAAAAAAGAAAAGAAAACAATATTAATAAAATCTGTATTTTTTTTATTAAAAAAGATATTACAATTAGTGTATAATAAACATATATGCTCAACATGGTAATATAACAAGTGTCATATTGTTACTTAGTGTGAACAGATAGCTTAAGAGGGGGTCTTCGCTAATAGCGATAACATAATAAGGGACAATTACACAAGTGTGGTGTTGATCATGCGTTACTCATATGGATTATAAATGATTGTATACATGTATATCCGTTGCTATTAATAACCACGATCATAAAGAAATAACAAGTAATATTCTAATTTCTAGCATGCCAATCAAAATTATAAATAATGAACAATGTCTTTCGTTCGTTCATTCATAAGTGATATACAATTCTGGTAAAAACCAATGAACCATTGAACAGTTTATAAGAATATCTTGTCATCATATATCTACTAGTTCATCTGCACCTGCTGCATTTCTTGCTTGGACGCCCTTTGATGCTTTGCATCAATGCTTTTCTTGTTTTATTATTTTTATGCTTGTAGTGTGTAGCGTAAAAAGCGATTATTGTTATTTTGAAGGGAGTTTTGTTGATTTGTTGGGGTTGGTTGAGTTTAATCGTTGTGATCTTTAATTAATCATTTTTCATTGGTTGTAATTTGTTGTTTTTGTTATTGCATTATATTTTGTTGTTGAGTAACATCTGTTTTGTAAGCTATATTTGGTTGATACTGGTTGAGTTGTATCGAGTGATTTTGTCTTGTCAAGATTTGTTTTAAAAGATATCTGCAAATACTGGGTGTTTAGTTTGAGCTGTTTTCCGATGCTGATTAAATTAAAAGTTTTTTTTTGTTTGAATGTTTGTGGTCCTTACTGTATCTCGGAGTCGTAAAATAATTCATTCTATGTGCTTTATATTTTGGCGATTTTATTGTCTAGTTTGATTATGAGTTGTTTAGAGCTCGAGCTCGCCAGGTGTTGTATAAAAGACGTATACTTGAAAAGATATTTTTTATCAGGGTTCTTTGTTTTGGGTGTAAATAAAAATCAGAGTTTGTTGTTTAAATGTATATATGGATTTGAGATAGAAAAAGAGAAAGACACCTATAAAATATCGTTAAGTGGACAATTAAATGCCAGTAACTGTTACAATTACATCAAGTCAGTCATTCTCCTGACACTATCAATTAATCAATCAATCAAAGCAACCAACCAACCAATCAATCAATCATTAAATAAATATTTTTATAATATTTGTATCACCAATATAATATATATATAAAAGGACCTTGCAGAATTAGTTACCAAGTATAGTAGTTAAATGCGCATTATTCAATTATTCTACGATAAAATAAACATTTGAACATGTATTAACTACAGTCTGTACAATTTGTTAAAAAAATGTGAAGATAACAATCATATAAACATATTCCAAAGCATTCTAAATGATTTAACCAATATAGCTGTATGGTAACAAGATAAACATTCAAATAAATAAATAAATAATACGAACAAACTACTCTACATATAAGAACAGGAAAGAATATGCCAAATTACAATAGACCCCAATACAAATTATGCCGATAAAATCAAATGATATGTTGTCTGATCCGTACAAAACATTAAAAAATGTATTCAATCCACATAATACAACTATCCTTCATTTTTATGGACCTTAAGTCGGTTTAAGTATCAAAATGCCAAACCATAAAAAGATTATTTTACATTGTCGCATGTCTTAAAACAGCTTATTTGGAATTTCATGTCTGTCTATAGCAAAATGTAATGATTTAATCAAGATAGCTTTATAGTTACAACATAAACATCCAAATAAATAAAATGAAGTCTTTAAAACGGTCAGTATAACAATACATATAAACTACTTTAAATATAAAAATCGGGGGAAAATATGCCAAATTACAATAAGACCAATTATGCCGATAAAATCAAATGATATATTGTCTTAACCGTATAAAAAATTTAAAGAATGTATGCGATTCATTATACAACTGTCCTATATTTAAACAAACATTAAGCCGGTTTTAATATTAAAATGCGAATTACTTGCCAAACCATTAAAATAATTTTACATTAACGCATGTCTAAAAACAGCCAATTTGGAATGTCATAAGTGTCTATAGCAAAATGTATTGATGAATTGCTTATGGCGCTAACAACCGTAAAATATAAAAATGAACATCTCCAGCTTGCGATTAAAAATGAATGATTGAATTTAAATATAATACTTGTTGCAAATGACAAATTCTACTGATACCTGCAAAGTACAAAATTGATATGCAATGCCATATTGTTCACTGAAGCATTTTTTTGGAATACAAAAGTACTTTTTGTTCCTTCTGTAACGTTATTGTAAAACCCGTCAGGTATTATATTTACCATTGTAGGATATGAGATAATCTTGATCTGTATAAATATGATGAACTAGCGTCTGGCACTCCAGGGCATTTCTCTGGTATCACTAGTCTTTGCAACTCTGCTTTAACTTCTACATACTCTTTATCTTCTGCCAGGCAATTTAAAAATTGTTCACATGTGCTATAGCGGTCATATAGTTTCATATACAATAATGACTGCTTCATCAGAAGCTTTTCAATTTGTTCTTCCTTTTCAGCTTTCTTAATGAATGCCGGCGTATCAAAAACATCATACGCATCAAATAATTTCTTGGTTTCTCGAATAAGTTGTTCATCTTTACTAAGAAGTTGATCTATTTTATCAATAGCTAACTTTTTTTGCAGCTCAGAAATTCGTCCAAAGAAAAGATTTCTGTCTTCTATCATATAACTTTTAAGGTTATTACACTTAATGCAGTCTTGTAAGAATTTGAGGGCATCAAATAATCTGAACAAAAGTAAATTTGGAGCAAAAAGGTTTTTTGGTGTATTCTCTGCTTGCCATAAAATAACATTCTTTACTATGTATGACGTTATTGCCGGACAAATCGGTTTTAGAGCTGTCTCTGAAAGCTTTTTCAACAATATATATACTTTGAGATGATGTTCATTTAGAGAATTCACCAACAAAAGTTCTGCATTTGTAAAGCAAATACGCCATTCTGTATCAGGAAATTGACTTTGAACTTCTGCAACCGGAACAACATGACCTTCGGATCCCGATATCTCCTTTATTAATGTACTGTTCGGCCAGTCGTATGTTCTCTTTCTTTGCTCCCATTTTCCAAGAAGATCTTGACTTTGACACTTAAATCCAGCTACAAAGTCAAATGATATGTTTTCACTTCGAAATGAAACACATGGTCCATGTTTACGAAATAAATTAACAGGCGATCCAATTAAATCAACTCTATGGGCTTTTCTGCCATATTCAGAATACTCAACAAAACTTTCAGTAAATCTATTGGAAATATATGTTTTACCATTTTGCTCAATGAGACAATTTTTTACTTCATTTGATAGAGCCATTTTATTACAATTACTCAGCACAAGTCTGGTATAGCCAGGCGAACATAGATATTTATCCATGTGAAAAACAACAAAACTAGAATCAGAAGTCCCTTCTTCTAAACATTTAACGTCTTTGTAAAGGATCAAACGATCAATATCACTTTCGTAATATTTAGTTATTCCCTCAGCTTTACTTCCCGCGGTCATTTGAGTGTATTCTGGCCAAATTATATTCAATTTACGGTTCATCTCAAGAAAGATATTTCTTCGGAGCTGAATAAGTTCCATGCGATAACCAATTATATTCAAACATCGAGAAAGTCTTGTTGAAACATGTTCCATGACTTCGTTTGGTTTTTGTTTCAAATATCTCAAAATATTTTTTTTCTTTTCTTTTCTTTCGGTGAATATTTGTCCTTGGTTAACTTTTCATATGCAGTTCTGTAAATAAATAGACCATGCGAATGTATAAACATTTTAAATGTTTTGGTATTTTTAGTTATCTACAAATAATCTAGTGATAACATGTTTTATTTCTAGATTCTACGACCACCACCCGTCACGGATATTTTTAGCAGTTAATGAACAGAAGTATATTTTGTTTGTGTCAAACACAACAATAAACATGATAACAGTTTGGCGACATTCCTAGTGGGCTTTATGATGACGTTTATTCTTTCTTAAGCATTACTGGATGTTCCGCTTCCAGTTTGTGAAAGTTAAAGTTGAAACATCGTGGTTAAAAAAGTCTAATTTATCGTGAAATGATCAGAGATATGGAAATTATGTATCCTGGAGTGGTCAGGTTAATTCCTTGCCCTTGCCACCCATTAAAATGCTAGCTGATGGAAAGCAATATGAAGCTCTAGGACCCCGCTACGCCGATGACGACGGCCATGATAGTTCAGCTGAATTGTTTCATATGGAAAGTCAGAGTAGCTCTCATGGGGGTTGGAACACTTTTAAACAATCCCAAGAAAGAAAAAAAGCTTGGTTCAATTGTGACTGAATATGAATAAAGAGAAATATGAATATTGATGATAAACTTTTGGTGATATTTGCCGATGACAAAGAATGTAAACAATATATGCAATCAATTGAAAAGAAACCCGATACATGTCTGAATATTTCAACAAAAGTCGGTCAAATTGAACAACAACTCGAGAATGATTGACTAAAACTCAATTGAACAAGAGGCTAGAAGTAGGCGAAACAATTTATTATTTGCTTGTTTTTCTGAAACTCGACATAATATTGTAAAATACAATTATAAACATTCTCTAAGATTCTCTTAAAATATTAAGTTGCCATATATTACTAGAGCCCATCCTTTAGGGCCGTTTAACAAAGAATATACTAGGTCTATAATCGTTATCTTCCGTGATTACGGAGACGTTAAAACATTCTCTCTCACGCTTACAAGCTGGTCGGATCGACGAAAAGTATCAATAGAAATTTCCTTAAGAAATTGTGGATGGTAGACGCATTCTTTGGCCCATGATAAAAATCCTACGTGAACAATATCCAGATAATAAAGTAAGCTTCATTTATCCCTGTAAAATAATTTTGACGGGGATGTTGTGTACGACTGTGTCACGAATTGCACCACCAATAGCCTACACATTTAATAAGAACTTTCCACTATCACCAAAAAGGACGACAGACTAGAGCACCAAGGATCGGCCGTAAGAACTCAATCTCCTGATTGTAAGGCCACCTCATCACGTGATCAATCAGGTAAATAGTCATCAACAACTCCTCTTCAGAGTAGCCAACAAACATTCCATGATTTATCTCAAACACACAAATATATTGACAGACAATCTCGAAGTAAATCAAGATAGCCACCGCTACACATGAACGTCGTTTTGTGCGTGCTACCACCAGGCTCCGCGACGCTACCAAACTTCAGACGCACCACGAGCTCAAAAAGCACCACGAGATGTGGGAGCACGTGGCTTCATACGCCCTTGGAATAATCATTCACCAAATGGCCAAAATCACACTCTAGATTCTGTGCAAAGTGTTAATACCAGTGCAATTGATAACTGCAAAAGCCCGGATGGAAGAGACTAGGTTCACGGGGGCTCAGTGACAGCTTTGGTGACTTGAAATTTCTCAGTTTAAATGTAAGTGGCCTTAAACGAAGATTGAAATATCAAGAATTTCTGGACATGATTACGTTTTATGATATCATTATAATTCTTGACACGAAATTAGACGTAGTTGATATCAATGGCTATACTTTTGTTGTCGAAAAACAGGTCGGAAATTCAATAAATGAGAAAATCTGGACGAATAGGTATACATGAACGTAACACATTTTTCAAATTATATCAAAATAATAGATAGCAATTCCGAAATATATATGCCAGAATGTCCCAGCTTCCTGACTTCATACCGTCGAACTTCGTTTTAAACGATATATTTGATATTGATCAGGAAGCTCAAGCCTCTTCGATAAATTCACATTGCTAGAAAAATATAATATCCAACTAGGTAGGTTCTCTCAAGATAAGAGAACTTACAAACATGGTTTGGGGCTCATTGAAACGTGTCGAAACAATTATCTATTTAAAATGAACGGCTAATTTGACGTTGACGTTAATTTCGGTAAATTAACAATCAGAGATAAGTCTTTAATTGATTATGTTATCGTCACAGTTGGAATGTTTCAATATGCTTACTATTTGAAAATACTAGAACCTGATAGCCTATTTTCAGACGGACACAGTGCTTTAAAGTTTTTGTTTAATTTGTTTAACACACCTAGAAACTGTGTGATAATAGAACCATTCATAATAAACCAAGTTGGCAGCTTCAAAACTCTGAAAAATTTAAAGCTAACATATGTTTAGATGACATAGAATATATTAAGTGCCAGTGAAGCATATACCCGCAATATTTAAATACTGTAGTAAACGTAACTCAACAGTTACAGGATTTTTTATCCAAATCGGCAGAACTTTTTATTAAAAAACGAAAATTTAATAAAACTGATATAAACAAGATATGTTTTTAAAACATCGGAAGCCAATTATTCATGTGATCAGGTTATTATGCATGACTTCTGACCCTGTGAACAAACAATTAATAAGGGTTATCTAGTATCTACTGGTCATGACTAGTCACAAGGTAATAATTCTTGTGACCCCATAGGTTGTATGCAGCAATTTAAGTTATTACAAATCTTACCAAAAAATATATGCATAAATTTTATGAATCATGTAGGCCTCATTAATGACAGCCAAGTTGTTATATTACATATAAGACCTTCAAATGTGTTTACGAAAAACCTTTTTTATTTAATATAAAATTATCAACTAAGGCAATTTGAGTTGTTGAGTTATTGATTAGAAACCGTTATCAAGTACAAGGTCAATATGACATTGACCCCTTGACCCCAAAATCAAACCGTTTTTACCTACAAGGTCAATGTGACCTTGACCCTTGACCCCAAAATCAATAGGTGTCATCTGCTGGTCATGACCAATCATCATACCAAGTTTGAAGTTCCTAGGCCTAAGCGTTCTTTAGTTATTGATCGGAAACCGTTTTTACCTACAAGGTCAATGTGACCTTGACCTTTGACCCCTTGACCCAAAAATCAATAGGGGTCATCTGCTGGTCATGACCAATCATCATACCAAGTTTGAAGTTCCTAGGCCTAAGCGTTCTTTAGTTATTGATCGGAAACCGTTTTTACCTACAAGGTCAATGTGACCTTGACCTTTGACCCCTTGACCCCAAAATCAATAGGGGTCATCTGCTGGTCATGACCAATCATCATACCAAGTTTGAAGTTCCTAGGCCTAAGCGTTCTTTAGTTATTGATCGGAAACAGTTTTTACCTACTAGGTCAATGTGACCTTGACCTTTGACTCTTGACCCCAAAATCAATAGGGGTCATCTGCTGGTCATGACCAATCATCATACCAAGTTTTAGGTTCCTAGGCCTAAGCGTTCTTTAGTTATTGATCGGAAACCGTTTTTACCTACAAGGTCTAAGTGACCTTGACCTTTGATCCCTTGACCCCAAAATCAATAGGGGTCATCTGCTTGTCATGGCCAATCACCATACCAAGTTGGAAGTTCTTAGGCCTAAGCGTTCTTTAGTTATTGATCGGAAACCGTTTTTACCTACAAGGTCAATGTGACCTTGACCTTTGACCCCTTGACCCTAAAACCAATTTGGGTCATTTGCTGGTCATGACCAATCACCATACTAAGTTTGAAGTTCCTAGGCCTAAGCATTATTTAGTTATTGATCGGAAACCGTTTTTACCTACAAGGTCAATGTGACCTTGACCTTTCACCCCTTTACCCCAAAATCAATAGGGGTCATCTGCTGGTCATGACTAATCACCATACCAAGTTTGAAGTTCCTAGGCCAAAGCGTTCTTTAGTTATTGATCGGAAACCGTTTTTACTTACAAGGTCAATGTGACCTTGACCTTTGACCCCTTGATTCCAAAATCAATAGGGATCATCTACTGGTCATAACCAATCACCATACCAATTATGAAGTTCATAGGCCTATCACTCGGAAACCATTTGGTCTACGGACCGACGGACCGACAGACAGACAAATGCAAAGGAATATACCCCCTCTTCTTTGAAGTGGGGGCATAATAAATAACGATATCAACAAACCATGGTTCGGACCAAAATGTCATAAGGCCCGATAAGACAACCATGACGATATAACAAATTATCATAATAATAAAAAATTTCAATCAAACAAGATTACAAAATGCTAGTAAACAGTATACAAGGTATTAAAGAACTATTCTTATATAAACGAAAATAAAACAAAATGGCAAACAAACTAAGAAAAAAAAAGTAAAATGAGGAGTGAGAACCGAAAACAATGTTGGAAATATTTGAACGGTTTTAAACATAAAAGTCGATAACCGTATTGGAATTTTACGATTATTTCAAGAATATAAATAACTCGGACACTGATAATAATCAATTCGACCCGAGCGAATATATAAACACACCTAAGGCAAACTTCTTTTTAAATAAGGAAATTTGCGCAGACGAAATTTAAAAATGTATTAAAAAATTAAATATTTAATCATATGATATAAATAATCTTCTTCATGAAAACCATGCTGACTTCAGAAAATACTACAGCTGCTTGGTTCATACCTTCACGTTAATGCTCTCATTGGAATTCTAAAGAAAGAAAAAACAGAAATTGT